AAGCAAAAAGAAAAAAGCCGGAAGTGGCACTGTGGCTCAAGTGGTAGAGCGCTAGCCTTGAGCTGAAGAGCTGAGGGACAGTGCCCAGGCCCATGCTTCAGGCCCCACGACCGGACCAAAAAAAAAAATATATATATAATCTCACCAAATCTTTTAAAAATTGCTTTCTGCTAAATAATTACTTATAGCCTAGGCCCAGAGTTCAAGCCCCATGACCAAGAAAATAAATACTTATAAAGTAGTAAGACTATACTAAAACTATTTTGTAGAAAACTGTAGAGCACTTGCTTAGCAAATTCAAAGCCCTGAGTAAAATTCTCAGCACCCAAAACAGAACAAAACTTGTATACTTATAAAACCCCATACTTTCGTCTCCCCTCAAAATAGCCAGTTTCTCTGTCCACTGAGAATCTCAAGAATTAAACAAGCAATTTGACTAGTATAAGATGGTTCATTTGAGGTGACTTCCCATTGGTTCTGTCTCTGTCTTTGTTTCTGTTCTTGTGTCTATATCTCTCTTTCTCTCTGTCATATTTCTTGTCTAATAAATGTTCCTATTACCTTTTAAAACAAAACAAGAAACAAGCATTGCCAAGTACAAGTGGCTTATGCCTGTAATCCTAGCTACTCAGAAGGTTGCTCTAAGGATCTCGGTTTGAAGCCAGCCCAGGCAGACATGTTTGAGACTCTTATCTCAGGTACTTAGCAAAAGGCTGGAAGCAGAGATGTGGCTCAAGTAGAAAAGCACCAGCTTTGAGCAAAATAGCTAAGTAAGAGTATAAGGCCCTGAATTCAAGCCCCATTATTCACAGATGCGCATGTACATGCATGCACATGCATGCACATGCACACACATGCACACACACACACACAGAGAATATATACTATTTATTACAAATGGGTACTACAAGCCATGATAAAGAATCTAGGGCCATATCTTCACAGAACTTATGTTCTTAAAATACTGAAAACAAGGGGGCGGGGTTGTGGGAGAGGATGGGAAGGGATGGGAAGGGGAAACAAAGGAGAAGGCTACAATGCCTGATAAGAAATGTACTCATTACCTTGCCCATGTAATTGTAACCCCTCTGTACAGTATTTTCACAATTAAAAAAAAGAAAAAAATACTGAAAACAAATAAACGTGATGAATAATTATAACAGCACAAATGTTATAAGGAACTTATGAAGGGGCTGCCACATTAGATAGGCTGACCATGACAGACCTTTCTTAGAAGGTGACTTCTGGAAATGATATGAAGGTTGTAAAAAGCCATTCAAGATAAAAAGAAAAGCACTTCTGCAGAGAACATCAGGCCAACAGTCCTGATTTGAGAAAAGGCTTAATGTTTTCAAGAGGCAGAAAGACCAAAGGACAGAACAGTACATGATAAAGCTATTGAGATAAGTAGGATTAACCTTACTTATGACCTTATTAAGTTTTAAATTCTACTTAAAGAAAAAGGCTAAATTAATATCATTAGCCACATGTGGGTATCTAAATCCAGTTAAAATTAAATAAAATTAAAAATTGTTGGTAGCCAGATTCCAGTGGCTCAACCTATAATGCTAGCTAGTCAGGAAACTGAGATCTAGCTTGAAACAGCCCAGACAGACAAAGCCTAAAGACTTTTATTTCCAAATAACCAACAAAAAGCTAAAATGGAGGCATGGCATAAGTGGTACAGTGTCAACCAACAAGTAAGAGCGAGAATGAGGTCCTGAGTACAAGCCCCAGAATTAGCAAATAATTAAAATTAATTCATCATAATTGGTTAATTAATTTTGTATCTGGGCATAATGGCACATACATATACCCTCAGCATTAATGAAGAAGGAAAGAAGCATAGCCAATTCAAGTCCACTATAGGCTACACAATAATTTTGAGACCAGCCTGGACTACACAGCAAGAGCATGTCTCAGAAATAAATAATAAAGTTGAAAGTGTGGCTCAAGTTGTACAGCAACAGCCTAATAAGCTTCGAGTCCCTAGTTCAAATCCCAGTATACCCCACCTCAAAAAATTAAAAAGTATAGTTCTGTAATGTAGGAACTACGGCATGAGCAAATCAGCTCAGCAAGAGTGTGAGGTCCTGAGCTCAATCACTCAACCAGGCACTGATGGTTCACACCTGTAATCCTAGCTACTCAGGAAGCTGAGATCTGAGGATCACAGTTTGAAGCCAGCCTGTACAGAAAAGTCCCAGTGAGACTCATCCAATTAACCACTGAAAAACCGAAGTGGCACTGTGGCTCAAGTGGTAGAGCACTATCCTTGTGCACAAAGAGGCTCAAGGACAATTGACCAAAAAAGAAAGAAAAGAAAAAAGGAAGAAATGAAAAGGAAAAAAACTCAATCAATCTAAAGTTTTAGTTTTCTAGTCACAATAGCCATGTTTACAGTCCCCGGTAGCTACAAACAGCTACTGAATCCCATTTTAAACACTGAACATGCAGAGTATTTCTACCTTCACTGAAAATTTTACCGAAAAGCACATACTGCAGAGGTTTAGGCTACCAATAGGAAAGGGATAAATGTGCCCAGAGAATTTAGTATGCAAGTAGATTTAAAAATAATTTATGGCTGAGATCTGTCTGAATAAGTTCATCACAGTTCATCATAAATACCAGTAAGTGAGCATTCTTCAGTACCCTCTTAATAGCACACCCACAAGAAGCTTAGTGAACAATAGAGCATTCATGGTCCAAAAGGAGAAAGTGTGGAAATAGTAAACATTTATGATATTGCAAAAGCATCCCAACAAAGAAATTATAGATCCAGGAACCATATCAAAGGTGAATCTAATAGAGTTTGTTGATGGAGTACATATAAGAATAAGAGAAGGGGCTAGGAAGGTGGCTCAGTGGTAGAGCACTTGCCTTGCATGCCTGAGGCCCTGGGTTCGATTCCTCAGCACCACATAAGCAAAAAGAAAAAAAGCCGGAAGTGGCGCTGTGGCTCAAGTGGTAGAGCGCTAGCCTTGAGCTGAAGAGCTGAGGGACAGCACCCAGACCCAGAGTTCAGGCCCCACGACCGTACCCCCCCGCCCCAAAAAAAGAATAAGAGATATATGCGGTTGAGATCTAAGGGCTGGAGGCATGCTTCAAATGGTAGAACACGAGCTAAGGACAAGGCCCTTAGTTAAATCCCCAATACTATTAAATAAGAAAAAAAAAAAAACCTTAAAAAAATATTTTAAGTCAGGTACTGGTAGCTCACACCTGTAATCCTAGCAACACAGGAGGCTAAAATCTGAAGATCAGGGTTGGAAGCCATCCTGGGCAAGAAAGGCCATGAGATTCTTATCGCCAATTAATCACCTAAAAACCAGGAAGTGGAGCCTTGG